TTCCGGCTGCCCCCCCCCCCCTTTTTTTTTTCGTTCAGGGTTTCGGGTGAGATTTTGCACGATAGCCCGAAAATGAGCTCTTTCGCAGATGATAGGCAGACGAGCACGAACGATTTCATTCTGGCCTGTTTGGAATTCATAAAAAAAATTATATTCCTCGGACGATGCGCCCTATCGTGTCCCCACCAGCACCAGGAAACAGATTCCGAGGAAATATGTACGTGCGCCTACTTTTTTTGGGGGGGGGGGGGGGGGCAGAGATTCATTTTCGATTTCAAATTGAATGACGGTCGAGAATTCCATTCTTTCTATTAGTATTATTATTTACATGTATTTAAACTACATATCCTCCCGGCCTGCTTCCCTGCATCAGAGGATTCCCACCTTCCCGCGAGAGCAGCCCTCATTATTATTATTATTATCATGAATTCCCCTGTTTTGGGTATCATAAATCACGTTGATAAAATTTGTCGGGATATTTTTAACACAGTTCGATGCCCGCTGGACTCGACGTAAAGGCTCAGTTAAAGTAAATGAAATTAAAGGTTACAGAGACAAGGACGTTCGATGATAAAAAAACAAAGCCCTGAGTCGACGAAAAATACGGAAACGGCGGTGCTCGATCGTCTTTGGAGTCGGAGAATCGGCAACCCTGTCGCCTGGGGTCCGGCCGACGACCCGGAGGCTTCAAGGCATCCAAGGCATCCAGCAGGTGAGCGGGAGACGAGAGGACAGACGATGAGAGGACGCGGTCGGCGACGCACGTGTCGGTGCGGCCAAGTCCGATTCGCTCCGGGGTCACGAGCGGAGAGGAACTAAATATTTATGGGGGAGGGGGGGAGGGGGGGGGGGACGAGAATATGACGAGGAGCAGGGTCGATCGAGGGGGGTAAAGGAAACAATTCGGAAAGGGCCAGGGGGAGGGGGACCGAGTGTTTTACTCCTTTGCTCTTTAGCGAATGCGGGGTACGAGCACTGCGATTCACACGATTTCGTTTCGTGGTTCAGCCTGACAGCCCATCGTCCCCCATCGCTCCCCATCGCCTCCCATCGCCCCCCCGTTGCTTACTTGCCTTTTTATCCGTTAAGTTATGACATACTTTTACTCGCAAGGGCATAGCAATCATGAGTGGAGAGAGGACAGAATTTGGGGGGAGAGGGGGAAGATGGGAGGGGGGGGGGGGGTAGGCAAAGGCATCTTTGCATAATTCCTCCTTTTCTGTTTAATTAAATAAGAGTAGCTGTGTAGAAATTCGAGGGTTGGGAAGTGGCAGAAAGCAAGGACCGAGAAAAGGGTATCGGCTCCGAGCCGATAACCTCTTCTCTCTCTTTCATCTCTCGTCCGAGATCGATCCGTCCGATTTAGCGGAATATCCATCGAGGAAACGGAAATCCGCCCTCCGGAATTTCCTGGAACGATATTCGATGAATCGCTTCCATCGGCGACGATCGCCGGAACGCACCGACACGTTCTGCCACCGTTCCGTGGTGACTCCCCGGGCGAATTCGGGAGAAAGTGAATCAGCCTGGAAGATCGAAGAAAGGTGACCGCGCCCATCCTCAGTCGATCCCCTTCACGTGCGAGTGGACTCGAAATTTATTTTTCATTTATTCGTTCGTTCTTCACTCGTGTCGCGAGTTTCCACGGGTTCGGGCATGTAGGCGGATGCCTTCCGTTGCGCGATCGCAATTACCGTCCGGCTCGAAATCCCGGTCATGTCCCGAATGTCCAGAACTTTTCTGGCGTGCTCGCGTTTGGAAATAGAATGGGGGGAAAAAGGGTCCCAAAAACGAAATCTCGTGGATTTACGAAAGCGTCTTTTTTTCGAGACGTTCCGTGCCGGTGCTGGGTACACCCCGCAGCGGGTGTCGGGTGCCTTGGCACGGATGCCCGAATGCTTTAACGAGACATTGGGTACACCGTGACGTCAGCGGTACTTCTCGAGAGGTACTTCTCGAGAGAGAGAGAGACTTTCATCTTTATGCGAAGCCATGCGATGTCGGCCAGCTTCGGCTTCGACGCGCTCGAAATCCTCAAGTCGGAAACTGCAATGCATGGTGGTCTCAAACGGCATCAGAAGGGGGGCCGGATATAACGAGGAATAATGCACGTTGGAATGGGGTCGTCGATAGCATGCCGGATGCCGCTAAAATAACGGGAATATATCACAGAATAAAGAGGATTTAGGAAAGAACCCCGGGAAATGAGGGGAGCCCGCAGGACCCTCTACCGGATAATTTTTGCTTTCATGCATATTCACATCTATAAATGTTTCATATCCTTCCTAAAAATAAAAAAGCCACGTCATGCCATCCTGTCAGCCCCACGAGGAACACCTTAATCGAATGGGAGTGACAGACATTTAAAGGCGGTTCCCTTTGCCCCCACCAGATGTCTCCAGTGACGACGGGCACCGCGTCGCTTCTCGCCCGACGAAGTCCCGATCGAAACAAATCATTGGAGACACCCGGATTCGGTTGCATCGTTTTCCATCGGGACACGATGAAGTCGAATCCGGAGGGAGAAACTGCGTGGTTCATCATGGATATTTCCGCGCTTTGCATTTTCGACAATCCTTCAGTAAATGTTCCACAATCCTGCAAGACCGGTCCCATGCGATTGCTAACGACGAGAGATGCAGTCGCGAAAACAAGCGGTAATGACTCAATTTTACCGGCAACTAACTGTGACGAGAATCACAGCAATGTGGAGTCGGGTGATGCTTGAGCAGCAGGAAAAAAAAAATTCCCTTGTGTTTCTTTCCTTGGAAGTACTCATGGGGAATCGAAGAGTAAACAATTGATAGAGAAATTATGTTCCCCTGCTTATCTTCGCAGGGGAGGAGGGTGTGTGACAGGGAGGCCTGAGAACGAAGCGGGCGAGCATCCAGCCAGTCGCTTAATCCTCGTGCGTAGGGATTTATTTCTTCTTTTGAGATTTGTTGTGGTTGTGCCGGGGAATATTTTCAAACGAAACTATGATTTGCTCATATTGGGTCTTGGAGTTGCGTTTCTGCCGAATTTCATCGCACAGCATCTCATTTTTCTCGGTTGATTTTTAGAACCGCAGACAAAACCGACTTTGCCAATCGTTTCGGCATAAATCAAAGAACGCCTGCTAAACGAACTCCTTTTCCATCCGACTACAGCAAAACGCTTAGCTTTATATTAAATTTCACCACGCAACTCCTCACACTTCTGAAGAAAATTAGGAATATCCATTCTTTGATGGGGGAAAAACTATAGTGCTCGTTTTCGTTCGAGCGAGGCAAGGAGAAATATTTGGTGGAGGAAACAAATCAAGTGACGGAAGCACCTTGATGACAAGAGGGATATTTCAGGGGTTCTCAGGAAATCCAGCCATTTTTGGCTAGGGAAATGGGGAAACCTAGAGGGCAGGGATTGCAATTGACGCAACGGGACTTCAGTTTACAAATCCGGTTCCGTGTCCCTGTCCGCATCAGTCATTCCGGTTGAGAAATAACGCGTCATGAAGTTTACTTCGGGACCGCCATCGAAGACATTGTGCACCCCTGCCACATGGAGAAGTGGGCCTAGGACACCCTACAACCTCCATGAAGAGGATGAGATCTCATCCTTCACGAGAGCCCGAGGACATCCCTCAAACGCCCGAGGACATCCCTCAAACGCACGAGGACATCCCTCAAGAGCTCGAGGACATAGACCCGATTCCTCACGGGGTAACTGGAGATGAATCGTCTCGGCGCAGAGGATAAGAGGAATCTTCCTCCGTGTTGTGATGGGTAGAGGGAGCCTCTCACACTCCCTGTCAGCCTCAATTTCCTGCCAAGATGAACGAAGCCTCGTGATTGAAGTTATCATAATGGGGTGTACGGATGACGAACCCGTTCTCCACTTCCTGCTTCTGTCACTTCGTTCTTCATTCCGCTCAACCGAGTTGGAGCAGCTCGAGCCTCCGTCGACATTCCATTCTATTTTCATGTTTGTAAACTGTGGGGATTGCCTCTGTGGGAATTGCCTCTGCGGGGATTGCCTCTGTGGGAATTGCCTCTGCGGGGATTGCCACTGTCGGAATGCGAACGGCAATGGTTCCGAGAAAACTTCGAGATGACCCATATCCTGAGTGGGGGAGAAACGAGAAACTTGGTCATCGACCACGTGCACCTGACACGCTAGAAAACCAGT